GATTTTCCACAAGACTTCTGTGCAAATCTTGGATCTTGGATCTTGGTTTTGGGAAGGAATGCATTCTCTGGCATTCTCTGGTAGTGACAAAATTGCACTAAGTACATTTTGATCCTGGAATATTACTGATTACCGACATGTGTTCCTCGGTTAATTCTAATTAACAATAGCTCAACTCTAATTTACTTCCATGTATTTTAGTGCACATGCAAGTTAACTAAATTCTAAGTCAATTCTTATTCCAATTTAAAATCACTTGTATGTCTATTTAAATGTCTAAGTTGAGTCTAATTGAAATCTAATTGAACTTTAAATGGATTCTAATTTGAGTATGTGACATAGTTCTACTTTAAGCCTAAGTTGAGCCTAATTGAATTCTAATTTAAGTCTAATTAGATCTAGTTCAATTCTAATTGAACTTAGATTCCAATCAATTTATTTCTAGGTCAATACTGTTCTACTAACCAAGCTCTAGGTAAAACAACTCTAATTCAATTCTACCTTAGTTCTAAGTCAATTTCAATTTAAGTAATGGATTCTTATTCAATGGTTTTCATTCAACTCTAATTTAATTCCAGTCTACTTCTAATGTAGTTCTATTTCATTCTATTTTGGGTTCAATTGTAACTTTGACTCTTCCAATTTACTGGTAATTAATGTCTAATGTTAATGCCTTTTACAGTTCAGATTCAATTGTTTTATACATCTAATTTTACACTATTGTCATTGCAAATTAGGTTTGGTTTCTATTCCTATATGTCTAATTTCATCCTATGAATTTTAGTTCAAGTTTGGTGTCATTCTAGAGAGTGGGTGTTGCTGGTGGTGACTTTAATTCATTTAAGAGAGCAAATGCTTCTATATTGGAAAAACTACATAAAATATCTCATGTTCAAAGTGACACCACTTCTCTAGAAGTACATGAGAATTTCACTCAAATTAAAACTAAATTGAACAAGAATACACTATTAGAATTGAATCTGACTTGTATAGCAATGAAGTTAGAATTAGCTTGAAATCAAATTATATAAAATTAGGCTTGCATTGAATCCCAAGTAAAGTAGAATCTATAGTGATAGACATTTGAATCAAAATAGAATGTACAAATAATTGAAATAGATTCAAAATTGCATTTGAATATACAAAGTAGAGTAGAATTGAATAGATTGTAGTTTAAACTTACTTAGAATTAAACTGGAATTTAGTTATTTAGGGTGTGCAATTCTTTGCCTTCTGATTATGATGTACTTGCTCAACTGCATTCAATAAGAGCAGTACAATTCACACCCTAAAACAAGACATATGGTTTTGCATGGGGGTTGCAATGAATTAGATTACTCCATCCAAGAACTGTTTAGTAAGCACATAACCTTATGGATTTGGACATTTTTGTAGTACATAGTTAAATGAACAAATATGCTTACCAACTGCACACCAGCACTCAGAAACATAGCTTTTTTTTGGGGGGGGCTAGCATATGTGTATATGCATTATGTGTATGTGTCATACATGATCATACATGGTGCTACCAATCCATGAAATTGCAGTGTGTGTTTTTCCGTGCCGGGTGCGCTTTGAGGCGCATTGATGGCTTTGCAGCTACCCTAGCAAACCCGTAAGTGGGGTGCAGGGGAGAATCGGGAGAAATCAGAGGAATCCACATTGCCTGTGTTTGCTGCTCCTTGTCGAGGCAGGCACGTCCTCAGATCTACATGTTCAGAACTCAACTGGGCTTGTGCAACTCACCTTCTCAGCATCCTTGGTTCCCCACGATAGAAGATTTCCTGCAAATACCCGTTGTCACACAGTGTCACTCAAAGTTCAGTGTCACACGTGTCACACGTTTCGAATGTCTGAGTCAGCACGGCGTTCAAGGAATGCTGCACACGACGTGAATCACACAGCACGATCTGATCACGATCTCATCTCCTGGAAGAAATTGTCCACCTTTGTGCGGGCCCAGAGAGGACCTGCGACGGCCCGTCGCAAAGGGTGGCATCTTGGTACCACGGTCTTTTTGCAGTATCTCGCTGAGATGACACCGGAATTAGGATGTTCAAGAATTGTATAGAAGTGTTCTAGGTCCTGTTGGCCTTGCATCCAAAACTACAATTATTTCAGCTGCTCTTCTGGCCTCTGTTTTGGAACAAAGCAAAGAGACATCGATGGACAAAGTCCTGTCCTGGGCCGACAAGCTTCAGCACTCCCGGGACAATCGAAAGTCTACCAAACACGCATGGTGCTTTTGGGCCCAGAAGTGACACAGAGAAACTGACAAACTGCAAGTGAAACAATCGTTCCCTAGATTTTCAACAAGAGTTCCGCAGTCGGCACAATCCCAGCTTGCCCTGGCAATTCTCTTGAATACAGCCGTCAAACATAACAGTACAAGCGCTGACACGGGATTTGAGAATGTGTCGTCACGCCATACGCTATCATGCAGCAGACACGACCGTTGTCAAGATGATGCGAATCAATCTAGATGAACCAACCTGGCACCACTGCCAAGGTTGACCACCTAAGATTGCCAGCAGTGGCCCGCAGAATAGAGCTGTAGAGTGCTTTTCTGGAGTGGTCACGCAACCTTTGGAATTCTTGGACGTCCTTACCTTTCTTGTCAACCTTTCTATGTGGTGAGATATGAGAATCACAACAGAGCCACTGTTGTGTGAAGATCATCTCACCCAGCGCCGGTGGGGGGGCAACGCCACTGTATTGTGACCCATGTACTGGCCGGCCTCCCAATGGTCTTCAGTCTCGGAGATTTTTTCGTGCAGTACCTGAGAACTGGAGCCTGGGTTGGCACCGTCCTTACATCCAAATGTGCCAACGCTGGAAGCGTTGCCAACGCTTTACCCCTTTTACTCCTTGCCTAGGGGGTCTTGCCATCCGGCCGGTAGGCACTGCAAGAGCGCCGTCCGGGCGATGGAGGATCTTCCTTCCTTGGACTTGAGGGGATACGGTACTAGTAGCAAAGGGCGCTACTAGGCGGAGGCCATCGCTATTAGTAACAAGAAGCTACTAGTAACAATAAGGGACATTTACAAGCATTTTCTTTGTGTGGCAGTCTTTGATGCTGGTGATGCAGACTGAAACTAAGCTCTACTGCAAGGGACCAAGAAGTTCAATAGCCGACGGAGTACGGAATCGAAAAAACAGTTCCACTCCTACTCTTGTGGATCGCTCGTATCTTCTAAGATCCCGACGCATGCTCATGATGCTTTCCTCCATGTTTGGAACTGGAAATACAAAGGTCTCCATCTCAAGATCCTGGCAACTGGGCTGCTTCAAACCCTTGGACAGGTGTGAGAGACAGAGAGAGGCAAAGAGGATTGGGGGATTCATCATGATTGGACTTGTCTTCCAAGAGCGGAAATAATGGTGGTCAGAACTTATATATAGTATAAAGTCATTTACATTAAATCTTTTGTGGACCTTCGCACCGCTCGATGTTCTAGAAGCTGGAAGAAGTCAACAAGGTTAGATATGAAGTATCAAGCACAAAAGGCATCAAAAGGCCAGATTGCAGTCCTCAGGGTCGCTGCTGCTTTCAATTTCAACCGACTCCTCCTCATGCATCGCGCATGAATCAGCCTTTGTAATGGACTGCATGTCCAATGGAAACGTGCCTCTTCGTCAGAGCTTATCTCGCCACCTGCTGTAACGAGCCCCCAGGCAAAGTATTTAGCCGCTATAAGACACTTAAATAATCAACGGGTCTGACGTAGAAACTAAACGTCAAAAAGCCGAATCCTGTGTGTCTAGTGCTTGGATCGAATCAGAAAGTCATGGCCTCGCCAAGTCTCCTACTATGCTGCACCAAAAGTACATGTTGAAGTCACTACAAGTTTCATCCCAAGTGCTTGTGCGGGATGTTCACAGGTGCCCAAACCTGCTCAACTAAATACAGTGCCCGGGTCTGTGAGCGCGCCTTCAGCATCGCTATCTAGGTCGATGCATCGGGCCTACGGGTCCCCACGCGCGGACCCAGTGCTGATCCTCAGACCCGATCCGCAATGCCCTTTGCTCCTAGTAGCGTCCTTGCTCCTAGTAGCGATGCCAGGAGCCCCTGGTA